CTTCCTTCAGCCCACCGGCCTATCGCAGAAAGCGCTTGAGGAGCTCGTAGTCCTTGTAGAGGTGTTTAACAGGGTAGGCGTGGTTGGTGCATGGGCTCTCCATGAGCTTGTTGAAGTGGTCCGGGAGGCCCTGCTGGGGCTGCTTGCCCGTGTGATCAGCCGCGGCGACCAACGCGGAGTTGGCCGATCGGCGAGGATCCTTCTTGTTCTTTTTGCCCCTCTGCGTGGAGGGGCCCTCATCCTAATCCTTGCGCTTGGCCTTGCCTTTGTCCTGGCCTCCATTAAAGACCGCTCCAACGGCCTCCTTGCCGGAGGCATGGTTCGTGGCGACGTTGAGCAGGTCACGGGTGGTACGGGGCTTCAGGCAATCAAGCTTGTGGATCAGTGACTCAAAGGTTGTCCCGGAGAGGAATGCTCTGATGACGTCCGCGTCGACGACATCAAGGAGGGAGTTGCATCTTTTGGAGAACCTATAGATGTAATCCCTGTGAGGGGCTCGCTGGGCTCCTGCTGGCAGTTCTTGAGGTCCTAGGAGTTCCCAGGGCGGACATACATCCCCTAGAAGTTTTCGACGAAGACCCTCTTGAGGTTCGCCCAGTCGCGGATGATGTCGCACGGGAGGAATTCGAGCCAAGCTCGAACATGTTCCCCTACGTAAATAGGGATGTATTGAATGATGAAGTGGTCATCATTCACTCCACTAGCTCGGCAGGCGAGCCGAAGTCTTCAAGCCATATATTGGGGTTCGTCTCCCCAGTATATTTGGTGATGTTGGTAGGCGGTCGGAAGCGTTGTGTTAACGGCGCTCTCTAGATGCGTCGGCCAAAGGCCCATGGTCCCAGGCCATCCAAGCTGGGACTCCGGTCGTCCGGCCGGTGACCGCGCCTAGGGTGCATTTCAGCACTCCCCGCGATGGTCTGGCCGGGGTCTGTGTCGCCTGCCCTCACTACCGCTCGATGGACGTCATCATCATGCGGGCCCGACGTCGGTTGCTGATGATGCTGTGAGTGTCTTGGTTTGGCCTGAGCCACTCGCGCATAGGGGGCCGGTGTGGAGCGGGCGCCAGGTCAGGCCGAGACAGCTGCGGCCTCCTGCGCCGCGCTCGGTGGCCGTAGCGGTGAGCGGATAGAGCGATTCATCTGGTGCGTCCCTACTCCTCTAGTGGGGAGAGAGGCCACGAGTTGGTGTCGCGATGTGGAGCTCTCCGCCTATTGAACGGCGGTGGTTTCCACCAGTGCCCGGAGGTTCCGGTGGATCGCCTGTTCCTGGGGGTTGTTCGGCTCGGGAAGGCCACGCAGAAGCATTGCCGCGGTGGCGATGTTTAGGCCAGCCCGAGCAAACTATGGGGGATCGTTCCCCCCATCCATGATGTGGCGCTGGACCTGGCGGGCGTGACCCTAGGCGCCGCTCACCGGTTACGTGCATGGGGCGCAGCGTGGTGCGCCGAGCGCACGGCGCAGGTGGTGGTTGGTTCTATCGCCGTTGTCGTAGCTCCTCGTCGTGCTTTTGTGCGAGCACGAGGGCCCCCGCATGAGGGTCCGGAGGGGTGTGAGTCTGTAAGGACTCGCTACCACCGGCGGCTATCCCAGAGCATCCGCCATAGCGCACTCCCGGGATGGACGGTGGCTAGGTGCCACGTCGCCGATGCTGGAGCCATCACTCTCAACCTCGTCATCTACGAGTTCGTAGAAATAGGTGGGAGCAAAGCTCGCCATCCCCACGAATTTGGATGTGAGAGGAGGCGGCGTTAGCATTTTTCGGAGCCCGGGCTTACGTGTCCACGGGGGCGCGAGGCCATAGGGGAACCGGTCGTACGGTGGTTGCGGTGTGGACAACGCGGTCCCTCCGGATAATCGGCGGATGGTAGTAAATAGCGAGTAAATAACATTATGTACATTACTCACAACGGGGTTTGAGCAGAGCATTTGCTCGGAATGAAACACAGGCGCCTCGTCATTGAAGTCGTCGGGTGTCTCGAGGTCGATGGAGGGCGCCCCTCCAACAGGCGCCGGAACGAGTGCCTCCTCGTGGAGGTGTAGTATGTCAAGCCGGTCGGCAACGAAGTCTAGGCTTTCGAAGAGGAAGGCCTGGGACGGCTCAAAGATGGGTGGAACCCACATCCCAACAGGTGAGGGTGCGGGAAACTCCAGCAAGGCGAAGCAAGTCGTATCGCTTGAGCCCGCCATGGTGAAGATGATGGAAAAGTGGGCCATCCGATGACCAAAAGTGTGAACGTACATCGTCTTCCCCATGGACGGCGTCAACTGTCGATGCAGAAAATGATCAACACGTAAATATTTATAGTTTTGTTGTATGCTGTGATCGGATGTGGCCTAACACTCAATGACATAGGGTTTATACTGGTTCAAGCAACGTGCCCTACGTCTAGTTTGAGTCGGTCGGTGACTTTATTCCTGAGCCCAGTGCTCGAAGTTTGCTGTGGGGTTACAAACATAAGGGAGAAAGACGGGGGGTGCAAGTGGTCCAATCGGACCCTGGCCTGAAGGACCGAGAGTGACGAGAGCTCCGCTGTGCGCTAAGTGTTCGAACGTCTGTTGTTCATTGGGATCCTTGGTTGTTCGGATCGTGTGTATTGTTTGAGTTGTGAACTGAGGGTCCTCCTCTTGGGAGAGAGCGCATCCCTTTTAGAGATGAAGGAGGTGGCCTTACAAGTGAGAGAGAGAGAGAGAGAGAGTATACGTATGCTAAGTCTTGTTGCCCACGCCGTCGGGTACAAGATGATTGTAGGCGCCCATAACATTGTTAATGTCAGATGCATGTGGGAGGTTGCGTCGTCTTCTTCTGGTATGGCAGACGTCGGTGCATGTGATACTGTTGATGCTCCAGAGACATGCAAGGGGTTTTACCGTGCTCATCTGGTATGGGAGTTTGTGGGCGCCCACAACATTGTAGGGCAAATGTCGGTGCCCATAATACTGCTTGGGTTCTGACATGCCTGGAAGGTTGCAGGGCACTTTTCTGACATGTCCTGTCGGTACTGTCCTACAGGTGTATATGGTACGGTCCTCGGTATTGCGGTTTGACTTGAGTGACCTGCCTTACTTTCTCCTTTTGTTTCTGGTCCTCACCGAGCGGGCATCCCCGGTCGGTTGGGTCCAGTTGGCTCCGACTGCGCCAGTCGGAGAAGAGCTGTAAGCTGGGGTTGGTGTGTCCCCGGCCGGAGACGTGGGTCAGAGTTCGGAAGCGGTGTTTGGCCAAGAGAGGCGGGCGGAGTCGGAAGTGAGCGTTGTTCCTCCTTAGCGAGGTCTTTCGGTTGGAGATTGGATTGCTCTTCTGGCTTGTTTTTTAGTATTTGGGCCGGCCCAATAGTTGTGCGTCGTCGCAACGTTGTCTACTAGGTTGAGCCTTTGCTGGTGAAGCCGGTCCACGAGGGACCCCCGGTTTATGAAGCCCGACACGAAGTGTTGGTGGGTTTACGCGTGCTTCTTGTTCCACCTGCTGGCCTCCACTTCCTTGGCTCACTTGATCTACGGGCATGGCGTTGTTGTCGCGATTGCTTTGATTTCCTGATGAAGAGTGGCCATCCGATGGGAATCGGATATGATTATTAACTCGGTTGCTGCTTCCTATGCCAAGGAAACCTTTGAGACCTTTCTTCATGATTCCTGAAAACTAATGACAATCTCAAGAGGAGGGGTTATGGGTTAGTGAAAACAAAGCACGTCCTTGATTTATAGATCACCACAACATTGCCCTTCTTCTCCTGGAAGGATGGTTTGCTTGGTGATTAGGCAAATTGGCTTTCGGAGGTGGAGTGTGAAGGAGAAGAGGTGTGTGGATATTAGCAAAGGCTTGGAAATTCTGATATGAAGAGAGAGTGCACACCCCAAGGCAATAAATGGAGCCAGGAAGGTGCAAAGTGCCAAGGACGTATGCATGGCTCCAGGAGAATCAAAAGAAATGCCAAAGGGATTGATTGAAAACTTTGGAGATGTTGGAGGAAAGGGCAAGGTGAGTGGGAGGCAAGGATGAAAGGTGGAATCACATCCAGTTTGTTCGCTGGTTGGTTTCTAAATTGATAAGTCCGGCTGGTGTTGGTTTATCGTGAGAGAAAAATATTATACCATAACTGAAAAGCCCTAACTAAAACTAACAAGCGAATAGACTGGATCAGCTTTTGCATTTTTCAACACAAGCAAGGTAGGAGTGATTGGAGGTGATAGGAGCAGAGAGAGAGAGAGAGAGAGAGAGCAGGAGTGAGGTCAGGCGACCCACCTAATCCCTCTCCTGATGAATGTCGACATTTTAAGCAATGTACTAAGTATATTTGAGCAAGAAAATGATAGTGCTTAGAAGAAAATAATAGGGATTATGTGCATACCTTTGCATTACTCACCTTGGATTCCTTTCATGCAGCTCCATGCTCCCGTGAATGCCGGAGTCAGTCAGCCTGTTAGTTTCGGTTTTCGGCTGAAAGGATCGTGGATTATAAGCCAGAAGTACTGATGACTGGTTTGGTATGAAAAAAAAATATTATTTCAATTTATAATCAAGATCATACACGATCGTACAAACCGAAACGAACAGGCTGTGATGGCATTGCAAGGTTGTATAATTATTTCATTCCACTGGTTATCATGATAAAAGTTTGGCAGTGTACGATATATTTTCTTATTCTCGTTGCAATGCAGGAACGTAATTCTAGTTTAATAATATTATTAGGGAAGATTACATAAAATACCCGACGAACAAATATATTGCTAAAGAGGGGAAGTACGTACAGGGCAAACATGTGGCATAAATCCAACATTTACATACATTATTTCTGGTTCCTGAATCCTGAACATTTGCATACTGCATATAGCACCGTGTCCTTGTGCACATATACGTAACTGGAGTACTGGACCAACGCCCGGTGCTACACGCAACAGGACCACCGCATCCAGCGTCTGCACAGACACAAACACACATATAAACGAAGCTGCCATGGTGAAACCTCCGACTCACTCTCACACCCTCGGCCCTCCCCTTGTAACGCATCAACAGACCCCCTTCTTCTTGTTCACAGCGTTCCTCCACCGCGCGGCGACCTCCCCCTCGATCTCCAGCGCGCTCTTCTTGGCCACGACGCCGTCGTCGTCCGACTGCGCGGCGGCGGCGGTGGCGGTGGAGACCCAGGTCACGGTGTGGGTGGCGCGCGCGTCCAGCTCGTGCAGGATCTTCCGGATGTCCGAGACGAGCCGCTCGGAGAGGCTCCGGCTGAAGTCCTCCCTGATGACGACGCGGAGCACCGCCACGTGCTCCGCGTCCGCCGGCATCGTGTACGCCGGCACGATCCAGCTGAACCGCCGCAGGTTCTCGGAGATGTCAAACACGCTGAACCGGCTGCTGTCCTTGAGCGAGAAGGCCACCAGCGGCACGCCGGTGTCCTTGGACAGGATGTCGAACCGCCCGGTCGCTGCGATGCCTTCTCGCAGTATCGCGGCGTTCTCCTGGCAGTTCTCCATGATGTTTTTATACCCCTACATCAGAAAAGTGGCACCAAAATAATAGAGCAGATTGCAGGTTGTAACAACGGCACAAGGGAAAACTGAAAGAAAAATGATATGCTCTGAAGAAGAATGTATCAGACAGCATCTTTTTGTTCCCTGTACATACATCAAACTGTTTGATCAAGAGGAGAATAGCAGTACCTCGAAGCCTAGGCGAATGAGCTGATAGTATTGCGCAATGATCTGACTGGAACCTGAAGAAAATTGCCAAGCACTCAATTCCCTGCAACATGAGGAAGACCGAAAAAATGACACGAACCTGAAAAGAAAGAATGGAAGATACCTTTGGAGAAGTTGAGCGTGAATGTAGGCTGGTCAGTCCCTAGGTAGTTTATATGGAAAATGAGCTCTTCAGGCAAATCCTCCTTGCACCGCCAAATGACCCAACCAACACCAGCATAGACAAGGCCATACTTGTGCCCACTGACATTGATGCTCTTCACTAAAGGTAGCCTGAAGTCCCATTCAAGTTCAGGGTAGAGGAAAGGTGCTATGAATCCTCCACTCGCAGCATCAACATGAATAGGCACATCCCACCTTCATTGCACGCATAAGAGAGTAAGCATCTTGACAGAAACTAGAGCAGAGTATGTTGTGTTAGTCTACTTTGCTTTAAAGGTTTGGTCATATCCATAAGAAAGATAGCGAAGCCCATTCTTTTGGATGGTTTCAGGAAAATGCAACCTATAATTGCTTGGAGTGACATGGCACTGATGGCAATAATGTTCATTTATCATTCACCTAAGGTTCAATTTTTGCAAATAAGTTTTGACTCAGTCCATTTGTTATTACCCAAATAATGCAAGAAGGGTTCATTCTTGGAAATAAGTTTGCAGCATTTCTTTCAAGGAATCATTTTAACAAAGGTTTTATCTAAAATTTGGAACGATGGTTGACAGTCACTTTGAACCCAAAACATACATTGCCTCAATACTACTGAACCGATGGACTGTTATGGTTGCATTCAGAAGATAATACCCTGGAATCCCAGGCATCGAAAAAACAAATGCTTACCCAGTTTCCTTGTTCTTTTTTGTAAGAAGGTCGTTCAATAGTTTGACGTCTTCAAACTCTCCAGTGAGAGTTGATCCCAAGATTGCCGCAACACAAATAGTGTTCTCATCCACCATCTCAACAGCCTTGACAGGGTCCATGACATAATATCCTTCTGATAACTTAACTTCCTTTAGTTCTACTTCAAAATACCTTGCAAACTTCTCCCAGCAAACCTAGGACATTAGAAATCGCCAAAGGCATATTTCAGACACTTATGGTGGTTGCAATCTGATCACCTTGTCCGGCAGTTTTACACAAACAAAATACCTGAACATTAGCACCAGTGACAATGTTGGGTTTGTCACATGGTTTCCCCTGTTCCTTCCTCTTGTTTTGCCATTTCCTCTTGAATGCTAGACCTGCAAGCATGATCGCTTCTGAGGATCCCACTGTTCCGACTCCAACAGCAGTCTCATCCTCCTTAATCGATGCATTGAACAAGTGAGCTATCATATTTACACAGCGGTTCTGCAGAAATAGCAACAGGCAGTAAGCAGATGCACAATAGCAACCAACAGAGCAGAACTGTATAAACAAGTCCTAGTTTTTTTTTTGTGTGAATATAAACAACTCCTAGTTAGGTTCTACAAATGACCAAAGTCGTAGTATCAGTAACCAGGTAAAAGCTGCCAGCGCAACACTAGTTACTGTTTGCCGGACAAGTTAATCACACCTACAAACCATTTGTTATAGCTTCGCCACTACGCATCGTCCATCCGACTGAACCGAACTACTATGTGCTACAAGTAATTGGTTTGTCTGTCGCTGAAACCAACCAGTTTGCCAGTTAACTGGACATTAATAGTGCAACAAATACTGATTTCAGGGAGGTCATTCAGACAGTAATCAAGATATAGTCAGTGAACCAAACCAAATTCAGCAAAAAGTTAAAAGACCAGCGCAAACAGTGGCGAAGGGAGGGGGGCTGAGGGGGGCCTGGCACCCCCAACAGTCCGGTGCCCCCACAGTACTCCCCCATAATTAGGTAGTTGATTCTCTAATTAGCTAGTTAATAATATTAAATTAGTGCTTCTCATTCCTTTTGTTGTTGTTATTGCTGTGATTCTATTATTATGTACCCGATATTCTGGTTAAGTCCCTACAATACTACCCTAATTATCTAATTAACAATGTAATTAGTGCTTGCTTGTTGGTTCTCCCTCCATATTTATCTTCAACATCATCTATATTATTTTGAATTAGTCTTCCTGGTATCTTTTCATCTCCTTTGTTTCTGTTATCATCTAGATTTTTTCTGGCCTAAGAATTGGATTAATCGAGTGGGAGTTTAGAGGCCTAGGGCCGATTGAGTTTTGTTCCATTTTTCTTCGTACTCCTATGTCAATGTTTTTTTTAGTTTTTTTATCCTTTTCTTTTGTATCGTAAAATAACATTTATTTGGTTATTATGTATGCTATTACTGTATATGAATTTATCGTGTATGATGGTTGCCGGTTTAAACGGCCCCCTGGCCCCCTATGTCTAAATCCTGGCTATGCCCCTGAGCGCAAAGTTTGAGTTGAAAGAGCATATCTTTATCATGTGAGTCAATAATAACTGTCAACTTATTTATTCAAACAGGAAATAAATATGGGACTATCGAGTTTTTTGCCTCTTCAGATCAGATCCATGTTTATCAGGTATTCAGGATATCAGGTCATACAAACATACGGAAAAACTTGAAACTTTTGGCATGCTCACACTCAAGTTTTAGAAAAATACGCCTTATGTTTCGTAGAAAAAATAGCATGCTTATCCAAACTCATGTATTTTCCAGTTCAAACCCCAAAATGTCTGGGGACATGGGATGGTCAGACCCTTCCGTTCTTGGCAGTTACTGTACTGGGCACTTCTGACTGTTGAGGCTCCATTTCGACATACGCATGACTTCATATGGAAACAAGATGGACGCGGACGCAAAAGTCGAATTTAGCAAGGACAGACAGATCAACATGGCAAGTGCTGAACCTGACCCTTCGTTGTTGGTGGTGCATGGTAGTAGTACCTGGAGCTCGGTGGTGACGGGGTACTCGTCCATGTCGACGTAGTTCTTGTTGACGGAGTCCATGAAGAGCTTGTCGCACTCGGGCTCCATCCACGTGGTGACGAAGGACGCCAGGTTCAGCCGCGGGTTGCCGTCCAGCATCAGCTCGTCGCTGATGATCTGGTACGCCGCCTCCCGCGGGATCGACCGCTCCGGCATCCGGTACCTGCAAGCAAGCAAGCAAGCACCGGATCAGCACAAGCAGAGGCAGCGAACCGTCGCCGGCCGGATCTGGTCGGCACGTCACCGCGGCAAGCGCTCGCGCACGTAGCGCGAGGCGAAGGTGCAGGCCACCGTGTCGTCGTCCCGGCTGGAGCTCGCGTGCGAGAGCACCATGGCTGCCCGCTGTGGCTGTGGCCTGCTGCACTGTTCTGGGATTCGTTCTCGCCTTTCGGTGGTGGTGGTTTGTGAGTGCTACTGGACTACTGGTATGGTGCTGCTAATGGCTCTGTTATAATGGCAGCCTTTACACACCTCGCCTTTACAGTAATATCAATAATGGAAGGCGTGGTGTGTCTCCTGGCCAACCAGCGGCCTCCGCGCGGCCGCGGCGGACTGAAACGGAACTCCCGCTACCACTACCAGAGCAGAAAGAAACTGACCGTGGGAGTGGGTCGCGGACGTAGCGGGACGCGAAGGAGGTGGAGCTCACCGGCTCGGCGCCCGTGCCGGGCCCCGTCGCGGCCACGCTAACCACCATCGTTTTCGCTCCCGATCGACTCCGCTCTCCGCGGACAGCGACCGACGGCCCCGATGGATCGAGAGCGAGCGCGCGCTGGGAAGGGGAATCGATTCGCTGAGCGGAAGGCTAGTGCGTGCTTGCGTGGGAACGGTGCGGCGTTGTCGCTGGAGCCTGGCCCGGCGCGACGGGGACGTTGGCGTGTTTTGGAGGCGGGTCGGGCGCCAGCCGCCAGCTCGGGGTGCCGCGCGGCCATTTGTTTAGTGGCCGCGTCGCACACGTACGCGTGTGGCCCGGCGCACGCGTCCGCTCGGCGAGAGGTACGCGTGGTGGCGCGCGGCAGCCGGCCGGTGGCGGCGGGTGTTTATTCCGGATCGATCACCCGCGCGCCCCATCACTCTCGCTGGCTCGCTTCGTCACGGCTGCTGCCTGCGTGTCGTCGGATCGTGGGCGCGAGAACCAGACGACTCCGGTGCGCCGTGCGCCCATACTGTCAAATTGTCAAAAGTGTGCGTGGACTCTTTGCGAACCATGAGCGAGGATGGGGGCTCTGGCCTCTGGAGTCTGGACTGGAGTGTTCTTGGCGAATCATGTACGCTGTGATTCTATGCTTTCCGCGGTGCAGCGAATCCCACAATAGCTGGGACCCACATATTGATATTACTGTAAACAATCTGCACAATATTGCTGCCTGCTATAACCAGTTATTCCCACCTAATTTCAATCAATTTCGCAAAAAAAAAATTAAGATGTCAACACGAGGTTTCAATTTTAGGGGCCAACTTTTGATGTGGGGCCTACATATATATTTGGCAACATTAATCTACATAAAGTTGCTGCCTGCTATAATGAGACAGCTCCAACTACGAATTGATATGGGCTCCACATATATAACTGACAACATTAATGTGCACAAAGTTAACGCCTGTTATAACGAGTTATCTCCAACTAATTTGATTCAATTTTTTGCGAAAATTTTAATGTGTGAACACGATGTTTTAATTTTAGGGTCCAGTTTTTAATGTGGGACACACATTTAAATCTATCTACACAAAGTTGTTGAGTACTATAATGAGTTATTTCACCAAGTTTCAGTTAGTTTTTACTAAAATTTTATGGTGATGCGAGATTTTCAATCCAGGGATCTAGCTTTTGATATTGCAGTCCACAGTATATATAACAGGTATATGTGTAGAATATTAATAGAAACTAGTAGTTCAATTCAAAACAATAAGTATGGATAGAATATCATCCAATGGGTATGGATAAGATTGGGGAGGATGAAAAATGAATAATGATGATATGGATTTGAACATGGATAAGCATGAATTTATCATACCCTCCCCAGTGGCAGGTATACTCCCAGACTTCTGGTGCAATTACCTGTGCCTTGTTTTTTTTTTTTTTTTGCTTTCTCTGTAAAAAAAACAAATTCTAGATTTTTAAAAATATATTAACATTTATATATCTAAATATGTTTATTGTCATAAAAATATATCTCATGATTAATCAAATCTATACCTACATATCATCTAATATTAAGTACAAAATTTTCTTTCTCCATGGCTCCATCCATTGGTCCATCATTTTACACTGTCGCTACTCTTCTTCTGGAATTCACTTCGATTTTTTTCGTTCATATCTCTTTTCTTTGAACCCTTGTTTTATCATCTCTCACTTAGAGTTACAAAATCTTACCGGCGTCACATCACTCATGTCATGACATAGCTAGCCAAATCCGAGCCCATGTGCGTCGAAACTTGGCACGTACGCATGTGGCTTCATATTTTTTTTAATCTCACAATAGATGTAGGTAATAGCCATCTATTAAACCGAATCAATTTTCTAGAAGAGATTAGTCATTTATTACGACTAACATTTATTACGGGCCTTAGGGTTCAATTAAAATAAGGTCAGGCTAAGTCCAACTAAGAGCATATCTAAGAGCCTTTCTAAATCTCACTATGTAAATCATCATTTGAAAAGTCATTTGTATAAAAAACGCTTTTTATATTTTTTTTCATTCTCCAACAGTTCTTCTAGATCTCATATGCACTCTAGAGAGCCATTCTCGTTTTTTATTTTTGGCCAGCGAAAAATCTGGAACAGAAGATGGCTATATTTGGATAACCATTTAGAGAAGCTATTAGACGGTAGTTTTTCACCAAAATGTATATTCCTAGCATTAAGAAAGGATATGGAGATGCTCTTGGAGATGCTCTAAATACACCATGATAGCGAGCTAATTATGGGTCTTAGGGTCACATAACATGATGTACATTCCGTTGGAACGCGTGAACAAAGCCATCGAATGCGTGAACAAAGCCATCTAAGGAGGTAAACCGGATAGTTTTAGGGGGTGTTTGGTACGGCTCCTCCCGAGGGGCTCATCCGGAGGAGCCAGAGCCATTTTGGAGGAGCCACACTTTGTGACTTCTCTAAAACGGCTCTGGCTCCTCTATTTTTTACTGAAAAACGGCTCATCTAGAAAAACGTCTAGGAAAGTCTAAAAATCCGTTTTTCTGATTGAGGGAGGCAAATTAAAGGTTAGATGGACTTTTTTCATGTAAATAAATATCTCTAAGACCTCACAGGCATCCAAATTCGAAAAGCCCGTTGGGCTACTTTCATTTGGATACATCCCAAGCCCAACTCCATGAAATTGTGGTTTGGGTAGGCTCTGGCGGTCTGGCCCTTTCAGAGACGCAAGAATAAAAAAGCGGAGAGAAACCCAGGAATCGCCATTATTATCCCGCCATTTCCCCAAAACCCCAACCCCCCTTTCCCGCCATACCCTCTCCTCGCCGCTTCCCGCCCCCTCTCCCATGGCGGCGCCGTCGGCGGCCACGCGCAGGAAGCTGCAGCGCAAGTTCCGCCTGCGAGGCTTCACCCTCAAGGTGGACGCTCTCGAGGAGGCCGCCGCCTTCCTCGACCGCTTCCCCGACGCCGAGGACGACGCGCTCGACCTCCTCCTCGACGAGCTCGACAAGGAACCGCGTAAGCCAGCTCTCCCGTTTAGCCCCCCTGTGCGCCGTTTGCTGTCTGCTGCTGTTATTGGCGGCTGTCGATTTGATGCTTGTGGATCTGGCCGTCTGTTTGGTGGGCGCAGTGCAGTCGTCGATACTGGATCGGGACGCGGTCCGGCGCGTGGTGGCGCTGCTTGTCGAGGCTGAGGAGGCGCTCGATGCGGCGTCGCCGGCGGCCACGAGCGCAAGGTCTGCGCTGCGGGTGGTCGACGCGTTCCTCGTGCCGCGGTTCCACTACGACCCAATCAAGAAAGTGTTTTACGAGTATGTGAACGCTGCCTTTTCTTTGTGGATCTGGGCAATTCTCCACGGGGACTTGAGAATTGGTTCCTTCTTTTTAGGCTTCTCTATTGAACTGGGGTTAAAGATTGCTATTTTGCCAAATTGGATGCTAAAATAGGGATTTTGGATTCATGGTTGGGTACCTTATGCCACAAAGGCACAATCTAAGTATCTGATTCGCTTTTAACAGCTGCTAATTCGCAGAATAAATGTGTTAGGTTAGTTTGAGTGGTGCCAATGTTCTATTGTGTTTTACAAAGGTGTTAGATGAATCATATTAGGAAATTGCTGCTGAATACTTATAACTGTCTGGTCATATAGAGCACATCACTTGCTGAAAGATCTTGTTCTGTGTATAATTTGGCCATACTTCAGACCCTCATGTTTCTATTTGTTACTCTATGCTGGGATTTTCTATGCATAACAGGCACACAGGCAGATTAGCTGTCCATGGAGAAGCTGGAGATAAAGCTGCCCTTTATAGGGATAGGTATCAAGTGCTGCTTCAGAGGCTGTCTCGTGATAAATATTTCTCTAAGCCAGCTTTTGACACAGTTGCGACCGAAAATAGTAGTTGCGAGGTATTTCTCCCTGCTATGTTGTATCTATCTATCATAGATTGGTTTCTTTGATCCTTATGACTTAAATCGAATCCTGCAAACCCTATTCGTTATGCCTTTTCTTTTCAATTTGTTGTATGTTTGTTAGTCTTTCTATGTGGAGTTGCTTATATGTTTTCTCTTTCTTTTTTTTCATGCAGATAACTTCTATACAGTCACTAATTGGGTGCACTGGACGGAGATGGATTATGGGGGTCATTTCGCAGTTGGAGGAGCGACAGTTCTACTTGGAGGATCTTACTGGAGCAGTTCCAATTGAGTTATCAAATGCCATATCCTAAGAAAGCAGTGTTATTTTTAGCACTGATGGCTAGTTACTATTACTTGTGAATAATGCATAACAAACTTTCTACACCTTTTCTTTGTCAAATAAAATAAGTCAACATTAAACTTCTTCCAGTCACCTGTGAAGGATGGTGTATCAAGGAGTTTCCTCTTGTTTTATCTGTGTGGATTTTGAGATTATTGAGAAAGTACCACTACTTTCCTTAACATAGAACACAAAATCACGTCAGGTTTTTTCGTTGAAAATACTGTAATCGTAGCCGAAGGTGAGCTGCTTTCAAATGGCATTTTCCAGGTTTGTAGTTCTCATTTCCTAGAAAAGTTTCAAACCTTTTCTGTATTATCAGTTCTATTGCAACTATGTTCAAATCATGCACAGGTAAATACATGTGGATTTCCTCCCCTGGAGGACAGGGAAGCGTCAGTTTCATTGCTCATGGGTCTTGATTTCTTTGGGGGAGGTGTAATACCAACTGAAGAAGCAGTAAGTCCAATACCTTCATTCCAGATGTTGAATAATTAGGTCTTGTCAAAAACATCTTTACCGATAATTTTGGGTACCATTGATATCAAACAGCTAAGATTATCATCACTGGAGAAAAAGGCCGTGAATGATATGTTTGTCATTCTTTCGGATGTTTGGCTGGACAACCCTGAGGTATTTCTGTTTTACATTAGTTCTTTATTTTGTGTTTCTGTCATTATTGAGTCCTATTCTCAGGACGTTCCTATGTGTTATCTCGTAGAGAAGACTATGGAGAAGTTGGCTGTTGTTCTTGATGGGTATGATAGTGTGGAAGTTGTGCCTTCCCTCTTTGTTTTAATGGGCAATTTCTGCTCTCGCCCTTGCAATCTAGCGTTCAATTCATTTGAAGAACTCAGGTATGGCTTTCTGTTTCATTAGAGATGTCAGAGTTGTATGTCTTTTGTTCATGCTATTCCAGTATGAGATAAGGCTTAGCTATGTACCTTCACACAGATTTCAGTTTGGAAAGCTTGGCGAGATGATTGCAGCTCGATCTAGATTAAAGGAACATAGTCGTTTCTTATTCGTTCCTGGACCTGATGATGCAGGTACTCCAAAACTTAGTGATGCTTTTAGCTGATAGCTGCTCACATCCACAAGTACAATGCATTCCTATATCCAAATTTGTAATTAGTTCACTATTTAAGAATTAAGATGGAACTTGTTATGGCTATTAACTTGGTCCATTCTTTTATATCCTAGCTTTGACATGCTATTTAGAACATTTTCTGTGATACTAACAGTATTAGGACTATAAATGAGTTTCTTCAGACATATTGCTAGCTGTCTCCGCAGACAATTGCAATGAGATGTTTCTTCATCGCTTTATATGTTTTTTACTTGATAACAAATATGCAGGTCCTTCTAAAGCTCTGCCAAGGTGTGCACTTCCAAAATACCTAATTGAAGAACTTCAGAAGCACATACCAAATGCAATCTTCGTAAGCAACCCCTGCAGGTTCGACATGAAACTCATGCTTAAAATTCCAACTGATATCAGGATTATACTGATAGGGAGCTGTACACATTAAACATGAGATGAGATCTTAACAATAAATATTTCGTGGGCAAAGCTATTATACCTTCCAATATCGAATCAGAAGTATTCAGCTGCAGAGAATCAGTATGCCCAAAATGAAGGAACAACAGTGTTATTTCTTTTTGATGTCATGAATTCTGCTAAATCGTTAAGTATTTATGTGTTTTCATGGTCTGCCAATGTAGAAATGATCAGCAGTCACTATATGAAGCTAAGTTGTCGATGTACTGTAGTTATTTTATAGGAAGTTATTGAGAATCTCATACAGCTATGGTCTTGATTATTTTGGGATCTCATTGCACAATCACTGATGCACAATGGCAATGGGTATCTGGATACCTTAATCACCATGTTTCATGCTAGTCTACTGATGAGCATCTTATGCTTTTGGATAGGCAACATAATGCACGCTTGGCACTTTTGTGTTAGGTGTTATCTGCTTCATTTGGTTTATTTTTTGAATAGTAATCCACTGACATTTCAGTCAGGTCTTGTAAAAAGCTTCATATGCTCTACCACTGAGACTATAAACTTATAAAGTGATAGATTTACACAGAACATCCTGTTCAAACTATTCCACTAATCTTTATCTAGCTGCAATGGTCAAATCAAACATCAGCTTACAGATTTATCAATTCTAATCTGTCCCATGTCTAATAACAATAAGAGCTATCATTTTTCAGGGTGAAGTTTTATACACAAGAAATTGTGTTTTTCCGGCAAGATCTCCTTTACAGGATGCGGCGGTCATGTCTCATTCCACCAACAACGGAAGAAACAAGTGACCCTTTTGAACACGTAAATTACATGACTTACTTTTTTATATTGTAGTTAGCATAACCCCTTTGAAGACATTAACCAATCCTTCTCTTTTCAGCTGGTAGCAACTATCACCCATCAGAGCCATCTTTGTCCATTGCCTCTTACTGTTCAACCTATCATATGGAATTATGATCATTGCCTTCGGTTGTATCCAACTCCTCACACGGTATATCATTTGGGATATTGTTTATGCTAGACCCTTCAAAAAAAATGTTTTTCTTGTTATAGTTTCAGTGGATCTTTTGTGCTCATTTGTTACCTTGAACATACAAAATTGATAGTATAGCTTTACCTGCCACAAGTTTTATATGGTGTTGTGCTCATTCTTCTCTTTTCAAAACTTCTTCAGATTGTATTGGGTGACAAAAGCGAGCAGAAAGCCTTCAAATATACTGGGATCACTTGCTTTAATCCGGGTTCGTTTGCGAATGACAGCACCTTTGCAGCATACCGTCCTTGCACCAAAGAGGTTGAGCTTTCTGCGTTGGAAGGCTAACATAAAGGGAGAATAAATTGAGGTTCTCCAATTTGATGAAGTGCAAATCCTCTCCAATTTGATGAAGCGTAGGTCTTCGACAAACGATTCGACATATAAATTAAGGAACTGCCATTTCCACACCAGGAACCGTGAAAATAGCATGGCTTCCATGAAGATGTGGTCTTTCTGTGAAGAGAAGTGATGTTAACATCTCATCATAGGCTCAGCAAAGCAGTAGGAGCAGCACATTGGTGTTTGTGCAGCAAGCATCTCTAGATGTTTGTTACAGTCTTTGATACTAGGTTAAACCAAAATGTTTTACTTGTACCATTTAGTTTTTCATTGTTGTAAATCATGGCAACAACTAACAAGACTGCTTTCTGAAAGTGCTCATAGTTGTTCTATCTTCATATTTTGATCACCCACCTTTCCAATATTTCATCTGACCACTCTGAAAAATGAGTAGATCATTATCATATATGACAACTGTAGTTCAAAAATAGGTGAGCCCTACAACAGGACACGAATTTCTGCTGAGACCGCACCAACATTTCCAGTTTGATGATGAGGACATGTCAACATATCCACGATGTTGTTCATGCACCAAGCGACACGAATCTGTGTTGGGCTTGGGCAGCCTGAGTAAACTCTGAACTCATTAGCAACTTGAAGTTCTGAAAGAGAGTGCTTCAGCCTTCAGCTTTTGGATCGTGCGTGCTGATGCAGAACGCCATGGCACTGAACAGATTAGAAGGTTACTTTTGTCCTCGGCCTTTTGATTGTCGCGATTATGCAAGAGGGGCACCGGTTCTCATGAATCTTGCACTAGGGACTTCCACGGTGCTAAAATGATGCGCACTGAATTACAAGCCTTTCAGAAAGCATGGAACCCTTTTTACAGTGCTTGAATTTTCTCGTCCAAGCATTCAAAATCCTCTTTTACAGTTACTTGTTACTGCCCGGGTTAGTTTTACATCTTGTTCTTGCTTTGGGTTCAGGAAACTGCCATTGTCAGAAAAGACTGCTAGCGTCCGGACGTCTGGACGGACACCCGCTGCTGCAGTCGGTTTTCCCCTTCCGTTTCGCGCGTCAACGCGTGGGCCCACGCTGCCCGGACGTCCCTCGACCGTGACTGCGTCACCCGTGCCCACGCAGGGCCCATGCCGCCCGACGTCGTCCACGCAAGGACTGCTCGCGCCCCCTCCCACTTCTCACACGCATCCCATGTACAACACCAGATCTACTTTTGAAACATTTAGGCTCCGTTCGCTTCGCTGAAAAAACAAGCCAAAACACTGTTTCGCCTGATTTGTTGTGAGAGAAAAACACTGTTCCGGCTAAAAAAACAAGCTGGAAAAAACGGATTATAAGAGAAGCGAACGGGGCCTTAGATGCAACACTTATAAAAAAAAAAGACAGATGAACCACTTGAAACATACATCTGAAACACTTGCAAAAACAATCGAAAACCATTGCAAACATACACAACATCCAGATAAAACGCTTGCATTATATGTGTGAAACATATGCAACATTCAAATAAACACGCTTGCAACATGCGTCTAAAAATACAGATAAAACAATAAAACATTGAGGACATACGCTTGCAACATATGCAACATACCGATCTACTTTTGCAACATCCGTGTGAAACACTTGAAACATACCTCTAAAATATCTGAAATATTTGAAATGTATATTTGTGGCATGCATCATATCTCGGTGCGGCTTCCTCTGCCATCTACATTGGGCGCCGCAGCCGTAGCGGGAGGCGAGGCCGGATGGGCTTCCGCGCCAGGGCCCGACGCTTCTCCTTGCGCTGGCGGTGCCTTTCGGTGTCGTCGGGCAGGGCAGGCGGCGGAGCAAGAGCAACAACAGGAGCATAAGGGCGAGCATGTGGAGCAGCGGTAGGAGCAGGTCGCTTCGATGGATGAGGTAGGGCGCGGCAGCGACAATGACATAGAGAGCGGGTGGGTGCTGGAGCAGGAAGCTCGGATGGGAGAGGATTTATGACGGCCTAGATTTCGTGCCGCTCAGCACGGTTACAAGTGGACGCCGTGACAGGAGCCGGAGGGGCGGACGGCGTGGTGAACACCGCGACGGGCGGAGTGGGAAAGTTATTTGTCGCAGAGATGGGAGAGGAGGGGAGCAGGGCGGTTACCTGGTGAGCCGGTCCACTGCGAAGGCCCGGACGTCCTTCAGGAAGCATTACCGTTTTATCGTATATGTTGGTTGTCTTCTGGTACTAATATCTTGAATGGCCAGTTTGAGAAAAAAAAAATCTTGATGTCCAGAATAGCATGTTAGCCTACGGAATTCTTTTCCATGATAATTCTTATTTTACCTACGGTTTATCAGGGAGAACAGAACATTCTCCTGCTAAAATTAAGCTGCGGACCAGGTCACGCCTATTTTATTAACAAATTTCCACACCTCTTTCCTCTTCCAGCTTTATTCCGCTATTAAACAAGCATATCACGCCAATCCAATAATTAGAGCGTTTCTGGTTCTCCACAAAGTATTTTTAAGTTTATTTTTATCAAGCAATGCAATTTTAAATTGGGAAGATGGTGACTGTTAGTTTGACATATGCGAATTTTATCACCATGGGAAAAACAAATTTTTATGCTAGTTGTGGAGGAATAAAATCTGCCTGCTGCATGCGCAGCCGCACTTGGGCCATGTCGCCGCCGCGCCGGTGGCCGAGGGCGCCTCGCGCTACCATGACTGGGGACCAGGGCCACCGCGCCTCCGCGCAGGAGGGTGGGTCCGGCCCGCCATGGCCTGGGGCCTGCGCCACCGCGCCGCTCCCTGCAGCCCGTCGCCCGGCCGACCGCCTAGAGCTCGTCGCGGCGGCGAGCTTGCCGCGCTGCTCGCCTGGAACCTCGCCGCAGCCTGTCACGCCGCACACCTGGAGATGAGCCCAAGAGCTCGCCGCGCCGTCCGCCTGAACCGCGTCGGGGAGCCCGCCGCGTCTCCGCACGCGCGTCGCACATGAGGCCTCGCGGCGAACGCGCGCAGCTACTCCACCGTTGGCCCACGCTGCCTCTTCCTCGGTGGTCAAGGCGTCGGCCACGGACCCCGGACAGCTCGTGGTGAGCCGCGTCTTCGTCGTCCTCGGTGTCGGCATAGCTACATGACCACCCCACTCTACATCTCCGAGCCATCGCCGTCGCCGGCCAGGATCCGCAGCGCGCTCGTAGTGCCAGGTCTCGCCGTACGCCTCTGGCCCTCCGTAGTCTGTCTAAATTTGCATTCCTTGCACTTGCACTTTGCTTCCAAGCCTACAATTGCTTGCATTTGCGGACAGAGCGAAATAAAAGTGTACTGGCCTAGGACTGTTTAGAGCCAAATAAGAAAATATCGGCTGCCACAAAAACAAACGCCCAAATATTTATATATTTGGAGGCAAGCTTTTAGGTGGGGTTCTCATATTGTCTTTAAAAGCGGCTAGAAAGATACAATCCAAGCATCACTTTTTGGTACATTACAGGTCCTCTTAGAAAATATATTTTCTTATTCTTACAGTACATTTCTTCGTTAAATCCATTTAAAAAACTGAAATATATTGGACGTTTCAAAAATAAAATTTGTGAACATTTATGAAAACGACATTATTGATTTTTCACGAAGAACCATCATCATTAGTATAATCTTTCCATAATAAAGATGTAAACACTGAATTCTACGCTGGCCCAAATCCATTGCAGGGCCGAGTCGGGCCAAATCGGTCGGAATCCCGTTGCGCTGCCTGTAAGGCTGTAAGACTGTAGATGGAGTGAAGGAGAGAGAATAGATAAATTCATATAAAATCAAAACAATGTGTAAAACTAGTGAATCAAATTTTGTTACGTTCCTATTGATCACATCTACAGCATCGAAGTGAAAAAAAAATCTCAGGTTACATAATGCTTGCCGCTGCTTTTTTTCCTCCTGGACACGCGCATTGAATCACATCCTTGAGCAGTGAATACAAATCTAATTAACTTTTATAATTAGTTGTACAGATCTCATATGGGTACAGCACTTGGATCTGCACAAGCCATAGAATAATACCAGTATTCATATCCTTAGAATAATGTTTTCCAGAAAATGTTCTAACTCCTGATTATGGTTTTGCTATGAATATTAATCATGAGAACTTAGTTCAACGTCAAAATCCTCATATATCAGTAATTGATCTCTTAGTTCAACCTTCCATTGTAAATACAAGGACTAACTCTAAGGTACTAATTACACTAAATCTTTTGCTACAAATACTAATAATACTATCAATTCATCACTTGACAACATTTAATGTTTAAATTAGGTACTTATTCAAGGGTAAGATACACATAATAGGCTGTCACAGTCCAAGAAGTGCGCGGCAAAGCCGCGCCAGGTTTCTAGTGCAAATCCAGAATCTGCAGCCGTGCACTGCCTGACTGGCATGTCCCATAGCAAAATTCTTTCATCAATCAACATGGAATTGGAATTAGAATTATGCTAGTGCTCTCATTTTATGTCTGTCAGCTGTTCGATCGTGTCCTTAAAACAAGGCCTGTCAGGAGTCAATCCCTTTGCCAAAAGCAACAGACGAGGTGTCCCATCCATCGGAAGAAACAAATAAATTGACGAGGTGTTTAGGTTAAACGGCACGTTCTCTATTGTCACACATTTACTTATATTTTTAATTAAAACATACCATTTTAAATACTAAAAATTATACAATATGAAAGTATTTTCCATGATGAATATTTTAACGTTCGCGATACATGTTGAATGTACACTGCCTATATTTTGAATCAGAGGTAGTAGGAAATAAGAAGTGGCAGATTTAATTAGCATCAACCCTTAATTAGATAGGGGGCTGAGTTCGTGCTCCTTCTCCAACACCTCTTTTCTTTTTCTTCTCCGTCCACTTCATCTTCCTCCTGCTACCTATTTTTCTGAAAAAGATGGTATGAGCTTTTTCCCCCGAGAACATACAAGATGGTCTGAATGAAATAATCATCTTGGAAGAAATTTTTTCCCAAGGAGATAAGGTGAAGATGTGATTGCGGGGTCGTGTAATCATGTTGTCGGCTCCATGCATGAGATTGTGTACTTGCTTTGCTTTGCTCGGTCGCTCCATCACTATATTAGTTTGTTTTTTCATCAAGAAACTATGTACGGTCTCTCGTGCAAGACTTTTAATTATATTTACAAGAACAGAATATTAGGATTTTGCTCTTACATATGCTAAATAAAAGTATATGGAGAAATCGTAGAAACCAAAAGTAAAGATCAAGCTTAAGTGTAGCAACCTTGGAGTCGTTTTATTACTACCTGAACTATTTTTTTCCCACAACCGTATGTAATCATGTTTTTTATTCAGAACAGTAGCAGGAACAAAGAACAAGCAATTAATAATAAGCCTAGGCTTATCAAGTATCAACACAGCAAGAGCATTAATCCTTACGCTCTCCCTTCATTCTAAATTGTAAGTTGTTCTATTTTTTTTAAGGTACAAGGTTTTTACTACACACATACATATTATTTCTAGATAGATAGTAAAAATATATACTTAGAAAAAAACTAGAATGATTTATAATTTGGAACGCAGAGAGTACTACTGCACATGGATCGTACGCCGACCTGGAAACAACTACAGAGGAAACAGAACCTGAACAAACTTCATGTGCGATTATGCCCTGCCTTTCATAGCACCAGTCTGACGAAGGGACATTGCACTACTGAAGAGCAGGTCCAGATGCCCGGTGCCAAGATCCTAAGTCCAGCTTGCCGGGCGAATAATAGGATGAGATTTGTATGTCACCCACCTTAAGACACGATATGATGCATGGCTAGCTCACCGTATCTACGAAACCTAATAACGGACAGAATGTACCGAATATTTTGCTCCTGCTGGCCGGCACCGGTAAGGAGTTAAATCCGTGAAACTAATGTTGCTAGTCAAACAACAACCGTTCAGTTAAATCTTCAGAATTTTGAATTGACCATTAAAAGAAGAATTATGCCTGGAATATTTGATAAGGGGCACTTAAATTTCTGATTCGTGATTTCATCATCTTATTTTTTTTTTTTCTTTTGATTTTTTCGCCCCAGAGGGCGGGTCTATGAGGAGCTCGATCAGATGGCACAGACGATGGAGATCGACGGGAACGTATCAGCTTTAATTTTCTGTACAAGATGGATGCTTGACGCAAACGAGACGAGATGAATTAGTTCCCGAACGCCATGTGCACTGCGTGCTCCGCAATTCCGCATGCGCTCAGTTCAGTTGCAGCAAAGCGACTGCGGTCAGGTCAGTTCTTGCTTCTTGGCAGCATAGAACAGATGCAAATTCGTCTCCAACATCACGGCAGTGTAGCATGACTGAGGCTTGCCATCGTTGGTATCCAAGGAGTAACCAGTTGCCAGTTGGTCGCCATTCCAAAGAACTAGCCACTCACAGTGATGACACAGTCTCACTCCGTTGCTCAAATCAAATCCGACTCTAGACGGTTACACCTCATTCAGATCCTGAAACCAACGTATCAGATTCGCTGCAGTCCAAGTAAACACAGGCCATTTTCGCTTTACTGCTACGCCTGCGCAAAAGCTTGTGGCTGGCAGTGGCAGGGACCGGGAGGAAGAAGAGGACAATAATTCAGACGAGAATCCACGTTGCGCACATATCAACGCAGTTGTTAGTGGGTCGCGTGGGCCACGGCCCGTCTGCCTTGGGCCCTGGCCGCGCCATTCCCCTACCGCCATAAGTAGGCGCCTCGCTGCTCTGTCAGTACTCAGTAGTAATATAACGAGCGCTCTGCCCTCCGAATATTGTTTCAGGTCTCTGGGCAACCTGCTCATCTCCCATGGCTACCGCTGCCTCCATGGACGTGGAAGCCGGGCAAGGGGGAAACGATGCAAGTGTTGACCACTCTGCTGCTAGGCAGTCCTTTTTTCATGTTTTACCTCCCTGCCTCCCTTACCTCGTTGATCGATTGTTCCACTGGTAACCTTCTTCAGAAACACAGTCTATATTTGATTCCAGAAAAAGAGAGGAAATCTAAGTGACATGGGTCTGTTCGCTGGTTGGTTTCTGAGTTGATAAGCCCAGCTGGTGCTGATTTATTGTGAGAGGAAAATACTATTAGCTGTCTGATAAGTCATGGCTGAAACCAACAAGCGAACAGGCTAATGATACATGTTGCAAGGGAATGAAAAACACACGCTAAAGAAAGGCACGCTGACCATGGCACAGTAGTTACACTGCTGTTGCTGAAAAAGCTACTCTGAAGATCAGTCGTCCCTACCACAACTACGCGATTAGCGTACCTTGAACAAGTATCCAAACAATTTCCTGTCAGATTACCTCGTTTCGGCACAAACCATTAATTAACTGCGTCGTATGACTTGCTGCATAGTAGTACAAAGAATCCCTCATTTCTGAATGTTCTGTTGCGGTAATCTTCTCTAGTAGGGGGACTAAATTAAAACCAAACGCAATCTGGTTATATATATATATATATATATATATATATATATATATATATATATATATATATATATATATATATATATATATATATATATATATATATATATATATATATATATATATCATAATGCGCCTAGTTAGTACCCAGGGTACTGATTATTATTCAGTACCCGACCCCTTCCACGCATGCAGCGCGCCGGCGCGCTCCCGTAGCTCACCTCCCTTTTTTCCCGACGTAAGCGCTACACGACTGTCCACCTGCACCATTTTAAAAAAACCATACTAGTCGCCGGGCAGGTTTCCATGCCGATTTTTTTTTGTCGACCGATTTTTTCGGTTTTTTTTGCCGCTCGTTAGAGTCGCCAGGCAGATTTCCAAACTGATTTTTTTGTCGACAGATTGTTTTTTGCCCGTGACACTCGCATGGCAGGTTTCTGAACTTTTTTTTTGTAAAGTGACCACATTACTAACAGATATTGATTGGTTTTATTATTGTACAAATAATCTATACGTCTTAGATTTGCTTGGCATGAAAATCGACTATCAATGCCCATTCGATTGGCACAAATTTGTCATAATCTGAACTTTGAAATCAAATAAATAGAGCACAATTATTTTCCACCACAAACAGACCGAATTTCATTTTTCATTACTAGGACACATAC